ACTCAAAAGTTCAGCTTGCTATTATTGACTAGGAATTTCATTTTCACCTCCTTTTTCCCTAAGGATCTCACTTATGATGAAACCTCAAACCTTCTTCTAAAAACTGACTTAATTGCCCTGCTATTACTTCACTCAATCACTGGCAACACAGAAAATATTCAAAGAGGATTTTCACACCCAACCTTTTCCAGACAGAAGTTTATTCTTGGATCTTTACTATAAGGGTGTGGGGGGGGGGGGGGGGGGGGGGGGGGAAGGGGAATACAGAAATGGACCAGGAAAGTTTTATTAAGTCTGAAAATGCTAGACAACCAAATTGTTTGGCCTCTAACTTCTGTTTATCATAGTGCTGCCTGCTGAGGTCATACCTTGAAAAATTGCCAACTCTACTCAAGAGTTCTTTAGAGATAAACATTTTTTTTAAAAAAAAATATATATGTCGAAGTCATAATCTGTCTGTCCTTTGGTCTTCTTAGTGTGGTCAAACAGTACATGTCTCCCTTAACAGTAATGGGGGTGGAAAACCCAGGTATCACTTTGTTATTCTGAGATCACACCAGTAAATATCTCCTGTGCAACTATTAAGTCAGACGTGTGCAAGAGTGAGAATGGGCTGGGCACAGCTTTCCAGATGCCAGATTTCTAAAACTAAAACACTCTTACGTTCTTGCTGAAAACAGTAGGTTGACAATTGGACTGAAACTGTCCAGCCTTACTTCATCTGGACATGTGACCAGAAGATCTTCTATCTTTCCAGACAACCAATATGCTTGAGTTAGTGTACCCAACCTAGAATATGTTGCCCTTTAGATATTACTGAAATAATAAAACAAATTGAATTACAGTTTCTCTGAAAGGTCAAAACTAGTGGAAGAAGTAGCAATCACTTTCCCAAAGCACGGGTATGTTTAAAACATCTTATCTAAGACTCTTTTTCTCCCCTTTTGGACAACCTTAATTTTTGAAGCAAGCCCAGCAGCTACACCTTTTAATAAACTTTGTTATCACCAGCTTTTGTGTAAAGTACAAATAAAAGCTTGATCAACAACACTGTGGAAAGTTCCATCTACCAACGCTGCTTCTGCTCACCAGTTGTTGAAGGCCACTTCTACAGTAGCCTTCACCAACCTGATGTCCACCAGATTTGTTGGGACTTCAATCTCTCTATTTTTGTAGACCAGGAAGGATGGGTGCTGAAGGCCACAAGGGCTGGGGAATACCAGCTGAGGGCACTTGTATCTACTGAGAAGGAGGAAGTAAATGACACATGTGACCACATCAACATGTAACCTATGTACAAGCCCTCGTGATGCAATTACATAATTTCATCCCCATACGATGTGTGTGTCATCATTCACTGTAACTGGCTAAGAGGCAGTGCCAAGTGAACACATCTGGAGAACACTATAGAGTGAAGAAATCTCTTCCAGAAGACACAAACACCAGGCCGTGGGACAAGACAGACTTCTCTGTAAAACACACAAGTGACAACAGTGAAACCTGCCTGCCCCACCCTCCAATACACCCCTCTAACTGAATCAGCCAAAAAGAGCTAGGAATTACCAACGTTTAAACTCAATTTTTCTGGAGAATCAGAGGTTGGGAAGACTGTTGGATGAATAACACAGGACAGAAGACCAAGTTAGTGATAACCAATCAACTGTAACTAAACCATGTTTTAGTCACATCCCCAAACCGCCATAATTTTAACCTAAGACTGACTACTGTTGATCTCACCACCATTCCTAAGAAGTCTGTAATGAGCATGTTTAGTGCACCAGCGTGTCTACCATCCCAGTCCTACTGTCTCCATTTATTTGTACCCATTTCCTGTATTCGTGTCTATGTTTATACTTATGCCTGCTATCTTTTACATGTTTAACAAACTAAATAAAATAAATGAAATGAAATGANCCCTGATCTATTCCAACCTAGTCCTTCAGGTGTTCCAGCTGTTCACCCATCTCTGCTATAATTGAGTCCTCTGAAGGACCAAGTTGGGGATGGATCATTATGGAGAAATCATTAAGAGTTAACACCTTCTTGATGACACAATCAAAAAAGGTCAGAGATGGCTTTATTTTGAATCCAAGCCAGACCAAAATACTTAGGTATGCATACACCAGGCTACTTCTGCCAAGCTGTGTAAGACGATTCCTTTGCAAAAATAGCTGAAGCATTTGGGTAAACAACTTGGGAAGCTTGATGGAAGTTTGCAAAAGGAGCAAATAACTAATTAAGATAGGCAGAGAGATAGTGTTTCCCACAACCCTTGGAGGTATCTGGTGGAATTCGTGAGAAGGAACTAGAGAAGGAGAATAAAGCGTGAATCATGATTAACCTGTAGAACTTGCAGCCACAGGATACAGTAAGGATTACTGGAGATAAGAGTTTACACTGCTGGATTAGGGCACTATCTGTTTTAGAGTTCCCTCTTTAAAAACTGAGGTCCCCACATTTTGAACTAAGCAATGTCCTAAACATTTTAACCCAGATGGATATGGATTGCAATGCCTGCAGCTAGTTATAACTTTAAACTATCCCAGCAGCTCTGCTGGGAACATGTAATAGAGTTGAAATACTGCTTTAATCCCTGGCTTGTGATATCTGATTGCTCACTCTTGGAAAGCCGTGCAGTGAATAGATGGACCTTTTGCCTGATTCATCCTGGCTGTTTTGGGGTATGTTTTGAAGCCAGGGAGATGGGAATTGATCGTTGCCTTAGTCCATACAAACTTCTGGTGTCTGCAATTTCCCCCTTTTAGATGTGCACTTTTTACATACACAACTTTTGAAATTCAGCCAGCCACAACCAAAGAGTTCGGGAGTTGTGTGCACGCACAGCTAACACATTCC